CCTACATATTTGTGAGGTTCCAGGCCTCAAAAATCACATTATTTTCTGTGACTTGGAAATATAAAGATAACCTCAGCATCTGTTGGCCTCATGATCTCTGCCCTCCTTGCTACTTCTCTACTCACAGTTTCCTCTTCTTTGCCCATCTGCCATCGGCTTTTGTTTGGATTGCAAGCTGCTAGGGACAGAGACCTTGTTTTAAAAATGATCACCACCAAGAGCAAGAAGGTCTGTTTTTGTTGGGAAATCCCAGGCTTTACAGATAACCATGATGATGGAGACTCCTCTCTCTGTTTGGAAAAGCCATGCTGTGCTGAGGGAAGATGTGTTCCTGGTGTTAAAATTAAGTATATGCCTCAATGTGGCCAGCAGCTGGAATTTATGAAGATGAGGCTATCAGCCTTGTCAGATGAAGTTTTGGACTGGAAATATGGGCAGCTGGCTCCCATGTTCCACTGCCTTTAGGAAAAGCCTAAAGTATAGGCTTATAGCATAGTAAAAATACTTTGGGTATTAGCAACTCAGCACCATGGTCCCATTCCCGTTCTGAGACACTCCTTGTATGACACAGCTAATAAGTAGATGCTTTGATCTGTTAAATAGCTTCATGTCTTTGCGGCTAATGGAGCAAGGTGGAAAAGGCTACAAAGCAAACCTTCTGTTTTCCCAGCTGCACCCTCGCCCCAGTCACATTCCCTGCCACATTACTGCCTTGGCAAAGCAGCACAAACAGGTGAGGCATAGCAAGCGCTTTTGTGATTTCTGGACTATTGCTCTTCTGGTGTTAAGAACAGTTAGTATCCTAATGGAAACACCAGTACAGTCAGGCTGAGGAAAAACACCTTTGAAAGTGCTACAGAGTTTTCTAGTGGCTCAGGCATTGAGGTGACACCAGGCACAGAATGGTTTTAACATTTTCCTTTCTTCCTTTTCCTTTCTTTTTCTTTTTTAATTTTTCCTTTTCCTTTTCATTTAGTAAAAGCCCCAACTAGAGACCTAAAGTTTCTTTTTGTTTGTAGACAGGCCATGTAAAGAGCACATGGTTTTCGCTTGTTTCTGTATCCTAACTACTACTAAGCACAGAAATCGCAGTGGTGGTAATGCAGTTCATAACCAAGGGTAAGAGAAATATAGAAATAGCTATGTCAGATTTGTGCTGGGAAGGGAGAAACAATACGGTTAATATAGTGCGTGGAGGCTGCAGGGCACAACAGCTGAGGAGTGCAGCAAAGTCTATTGATATAACAAGGAAAAGATCTCTTCCTGACCACTTGAGAAAGCTGCTTTTGCTTACAGCCTTTGCCAGTGAACGTTATTATCATTATCTAGTATAGGTAAGGCTTTCAGAGGGATACTGACTGAAAAAAGGGCCCATCATCTGGGAACAAATGCCTTCCACTCACCACATACGCACACACACATACACACACACACACACACACAGCCCCATAATAGGCATTAGCTTCAGCTCTGCAGTAGAATGTTAGACACAAAGAAGCCATTAAGATGAAAGCAAACATACCTTTTGCTGGCCCTACTAATTAGTAAATCAAAAAACAGGTGTATGGTGGGAAATTATATATAATGACCTCTTTATCTAATCTGAAAATAGACCGTGCTTCAAACCCAAATGTCATTCTCTGGGTTGATATACCACTGGCATTCCAAATTGCTTGTTGTGTGGTACATCATAACTGGGCTTCCATGTTAGGAACAATAGCTGCAAAAGAAAAGAACGCAAAATTCTCCCACAGTTGACTGTAGCCTGTGTCACAGAGGCGTAGAAAGAGTTTCTGCCTGCTGGAAGAGAAAGGACACTTTGCTAATTAATTCAGTGAAATGACCTCAATTGTATGAATGTATATATAAAGCAGAGAATTAGAAAATTCATTCTTCTCATCTGGGAAATGCTGAAGCCTGAAAAAGCATGAAACACGATCATTTCTTTCTGTACAAGTGGCCTCACTGATTTAGGAATGGTATCTATAAAAGGGTTTCTAAAATAGCACTGGTAAAACTCAAAATAACCTTCCTGTTGATTCATGTTTTTTTCTTCTCACTCCATCCATACAGTGTTATTTTTCCTCTGGGATATGCAGAGCTATTATTTTCTGATTCAAAATATGACATAAATAATTAACATCAGCAATCACAACAATGTGCCAGCATGGTCAAAAGCTAGCTGAATTAGTAGAATCATCTACATGGAATTAATTGCAAATGATAACTTTATTAAAGGTGCTTGGAAACCTTCTATTAATTCATGTAGTATTCTATTAATAAGGATGTTCAGTTAAGACTTCTGTTCCACTGCCTGTCTGAAAATAGCTGGCAGGAGAAATCTAAGAGCACTTTCCTGGAGTCCTTCCCGTTCCATAACTGTTG